AATTCAGGATTAGGTATACAAGTGGACATCGTACAGGTAAAGTTTGGGCCTCCCTTTGGTCCCCACATATCCTGGTTCGAGATCAGGTATCCTTTATGAGGGGTAGCCCCCCCCCCCCCATCCCGGTAGTATCCAGCTACTGCTAATCCCTTTCTTACAGTATGGTAAATGTTCAGGATCCGCTTATGAGTGAGAACGTGGTACTCTATTATTTGTTTCTGTGGTCAATCACTGAGTATTATAGACTCTAAATCCATTCAAATTGTTGTGAAGTTCTTTATGGCTATGTAATATTCCATTGTGTATACGTACCACATTTTTTTATCCAGTCCAGTTTCAATGTTTTTGCTATAGTGAATAGTGCTGCAGTAGACATGCATGTGCAGGTATCTTTTTTGTAGAATGATTTGAGTTCCTACTGGTATATTCCCAGTTGGGGGATTACTGGGTCATATAGGAGGTCAATTTCTAGTCCTCTTAGAGATCGCCACACTGTTTTCCATAGAGGTTGAACTTTTCTCCTCTGTCCAAACCAATTGCCACAGTTAGAAGCCACAAGAGGCAATGGATTTGGCAGTTAAATAATAAAAGATATTACATTCTGAAGGGAAGAGTTCTAAGTAAGCCACAAAATAGACAATATAGGAAGGAAAAGGAAGTGCCCCAAAATGCAATCATTCACTTATATAAGTTTTTTTAAACTTTCCACAGCTATATTAAGGTTTGCATTTCAGAGAATTAGCACTGACAGGCATCTCTACTTATGTTAATGTTTTCAGGTCTTCTATTTTGCTACTAATAATTTTATTTTAAATGAAAAAAAGAATCTCTGTTGTTTGTTTTAAACTGTAACATTAGCCTATAAAGTGAACTAACTTACAGGGATCAGATAAAGGCAATTCTCACAGCATAGCCCAAATTCAATGCTCAAATATAATGGAGAATTTTTTTGATCATCTTTTCATGATAACCATTGTTTTCAAAAACTCAAGTGTCCAGTATATAAAGCTTTTGAAACTATAAAACCAGTACCTTCCACTTTTACTTACACAACCACAGCAGACCAAATGAAAAATATGTTTGTGCTTCTATTTTTTTTTAATTTTGAATTAACTCAATAATTGATAAAATGAAAAATAGTGTAGGGATCATTACATATAAATTTATTTCAAAAGTTAAGAAAACGATTTGCCCACTTAAAGGACTACTGTGTGCATGAAAACCATACGAAGAAACTACTGGACCTTGAGTGGAGGTTAGTGTCACATTTGTACCCAAACTCTCATTTCAGATCATAGCAAATTGTAGGAACTCCATAAGTGTGTATTCAGCTGAAATATCTTCATACTTCATGATCCAAGTGACATCAGTACCTTTTAAGTTAAACTGGGGAAAACGTTAAGAAAATGCTCTTCAACCATGCTGCCCATCAAAAGAGGACTGGATTTTTAAAATGTGGTACATATACATGATGGAATATCATGCAGCCATAAAGAAAAACAAAATCATGAATTTTGCAGCAACCTGGATGGAATTAGAGTTTATAATACTGAGTGATCTTTCACAGAAACAAAGATCTGAATATCACATGTTCTCACTCATAAGTGGACCTTGAACAACTACCATAATACTATAGGCAAGGGATTGACAGTGGCGGGAAACTACGGGGGGTGGGGCAGGGAGTTGGGATTAACTGTAGTTGATATCTGCCTGGGGAAGGGGGGGGCACACCTCATCAACAAGGGTACCTTCACAGTGAATTTTTGTATACCTAACCCTTAACTGTACCTCACAATTTTAAAATAATTTTTTTTTAATACTCTTCAGGATTTCCATACACAACTACCTATGCAACAATACCTTAATAAGTAAATAACTAGTGGAGGAGACACTCATGAGGAACTTACAGGTTTTCAATATTTGTCCAAGATAATTTGATTCTGCATAGTGTGCACTCTGTATCTAATTTAAATGCTTCAACTCTGCAATATAATTGGCAATTAAATTCAGTGGTAAACAATCCTATGTTATTCACTAGCCTAAAATTATTGGTAAAGTGGTGATTTTATTAGATTATTTTTTATATTGACATATCTTTTAGTTGGCCTATTATGTAATAACACAATGATGTCCAGCGAGCACTTCAGTTAAGGCCCTGTAAATTCAGAATAAAAATGACAGGAAAGCTAGACCAGGTAGGGGCAGGTGTTAGATAAAGTTCTGCTACCAACTGCCAAATCACGTACGAGCAGCCTACAACTTCAACTTTAGCACTTGTGAACTGAGAACAGGACTTGTTAATCTCAACTGACCATGGCTCTCATGCTTCCTAAGGAAAAGCATTATGTAGAACTAGCAGAGGCAGAGAAATGAAGGTAAGCTTATTTCACATTAGTTTGTTTTGGGCAATGGAAGGCGATTGGAAGGTAAAAGACAGTTATCTTAAGATTGCAGCATTGTTCACAATAGCAAGAACCTGGAACCAAGCATGCTGTCCATCAAAAGAGGACTGGATTTTAAAAATGTGGTATATATATATATATATATATATATATATATACATGATGG